ATTTTTTGGGGGGAGAGGGCTGAATTGATTTTGTATTTCTTTTTCATTATTGGAATCAGCGAGTGTCACTGGTGAAGTTTATGAAGTTAATGTCCCTATTTCTAATCATATAAGAGTTCTGCTATCGGAGAAATTGATTTTTATTATCTAATTATGCAATAATCACGAAAATCTTATTAGATATAAAATTTAAACCTCCCTTTATAACCAAATTTAAATATAAATATTTTTAAAAACATTTTAACTTAATAATAGTTAAATTTATATGAAGTATAAAATGTCCCTGTTTCTACTCAGCGAAAATGAAAATGCTCGCATCTGTGCTCACGAGCGTGTCCCTATTTCTGCTCAGCGAAAATGGAAGTGCCAAAACCAATCTTTGGCGAACTATATTCAGGATTCCGTAAGTTTTTTAGTAAAAACGCACTCGTTATATTTCTATTAAAATGCTGCCATCTATTGAACAGCGAGCTGTAGCATTCTGTACGAAAATACTGAACTAATTTAAATAATTTTTTGTATAACTATTTTAGTGTCTAACTTTTTACATTAAATAAAGAATATACGTACTGAGCAGAAATCGGGACGTGATTAGAAATAGGGATATTTACCTTAATTATCATACTAATATTTGCTTATCATACTAATCGCTCCTTCTAACCAAATAATACCTTCCCTTCACATTGAAGGTGCTCACGTTAGGTAGGACATCCTGTAGCTATGAAAAAAATTCAAGCTATACAAGGTAAACACTAGAACTACCAAAGTGAAAATAACTGATTAGTATAACTCTTGTAACGACGATTAAAACTTTTACTGTAAGTGAAGAAATTAGTTAATTTATGAATTTCTATATTTTCCAAAGTTTGTCATATTTATCGATCCGGTCGAAATAGGTATACCTTTATCGTCGATAGTTCTAGCGTTAACCGACTCGATGAACCGCGAACAAACCCGTGGTGGAACGATCGTGAGATTTATCCCTGGCGTGCCAGGATCCTGGTAGTGCACTCGTGTGACCCGTCGAGTCCTTGGAGAAAAAAAAAAAGGCACCACGCCGGTAATGTAGCGATGAGGGAGATCATTCGACGACGTCATCGCACGAAACCGATACGTGGGCTGAGTCTCTCTCTCTCTCTCTCTCTCTCTCTCTTTCGCCGCGGGACACCGGAGGCAAATTGCCCGTGCTGCAAAGGGAGAACCATCGAGGCCGGTGATACTCTTGAGAGCAGCCTGGCATATACGCGAATCATTCCACGTCGACCAGCACGAGACATAGGGGCGGTAGTTACAGTTTTCTTCCAAGAATGCTCAGATAATACCCGTATAAACACGGTGGTTAGGTTTCGAAGCATTGCCGTGTTATGCGAGTGCGTGTTGTACGAAACTAAAAACTATGAAGTAGACGCATATGTACAAAAAAATGGTTATATTCCAGAAACTAACAAAACTATACCGAAGTGAAGTCTTCGCTATATGGAGAATACTAGGGGAATACGTTATAAGACATTAACAGGGACATTGACAGGTTGTCGTAAGATTTTATCGGGTAACATAAAAATTAATGTTTTTGTATTTGTTTTAACCCTGTATGTCCTGACGGTACTTTGTAGTACCACTTATTATATTATATATTATATATTACAATAAAATATTGCCATGGACCAATAGAGGAGGTGGTATAAATACAGGGTACGGTTCAAATATGGGCTAGTTAAAAATATATCATATTAGGTGCTTCACCATAGCTGGAATATTGTGAAACTACGACTAAAAAACAAAGAAGCTTGTTTTAAGTCTATATCGTGAAGCAAATAATGTTTTAGAAACGTTAAAGTGTTGCATCTTCAAAATCTTCAAATGAGTAAGTCCTGAAGTAAAAGCCCACATTTGGAATATTTACTACATCTTGGTAGTCCTTTGAGATACTATAAAAAATAGTGCCAGCCCTTAGAGACACTATGTTTAGCTATTTCAATAAAATAAATTCAAAGAACAGAACAGATTTCAAGTATCTGGAATAAAAGTTGCGGTAAAATAATATTGATAACATAATTTAGGCCTTAAAGATTTAAATATCGTATTATAGCACTAATCTGTGGTTTCACTACACGTATAAAAATGCTCTACCTTGTTCTTTTATTATTACTAACAATACGTTAAACAACATACAAATATTAGCAAATATTTCAAATTCTGTTGAAGAAGTTGTATCGAATAGCAAATACGTTTACGGAATAAAATTTACAACACGATCGCATATTCAGCTAATCATAATATTCTGTTTCAATCGCTCGAGGCGTGTAAAAACGTAATGACGACGTAAAGTGTCGTAATAGCTGACGGAAGAACGCGGAGAAACGCAAATCGCCTCGTACCCGTAGCCACGAATCCGCAAAATGGCATATCGGCGACGTTTATCCCGACGAGTGGCGAACGAAACGGTCCCTCGCGCGCCGTACACGCGGGGCCTGATCTAAATTGAATAGACATTTTGTGATGTAGTGCGCGACATTGCCCACCCTGGAAGGGAACCGCCCACGATAAGCTTCGCTGGCTGTATCTCCGACTACATTTGAACGGTTCACATCTCCATTACGTCCTGTTTGGCCTCCCTTCTGCCCGTTTATGTGTTCCTTGTGCATTCCTCTAACTCCACAATTGACGTGTTTACCGAACTACAAATATCATTTATAAACGTACACGGCCACCAAACGGAAAGACTGCTGGCTAATATGTTAACTGTAACTGAATTCTCGAAAAGAAAATATTAAATCCGATAAAATAATAGTAGATTATTTGATGGAACGCCTATTGCTGGGCATTTCATTTAACTTGACCAGATACATAGCGTTTAAAGAAACAGAATATCATATTAATACACTGTGATTTAGTTAGGAAACTATTCATCACACAGCACGCTAGAATTTCAACATTTCTAATGAGTACAAAGTACACTGCGTGCCATAACTATTAAACCATCCTAAAATTTTCAATCCTTTTGTATTGTGGTTAATATAAAAACGAGCCACTTTTTTGTACGGAATATAATCTATCTTTTTCTGGAGAAACATTATCCCTCAACACGATTTCAGACGTGGCATACTTGGTTCGTTTTTAGTTTAATTACAATACATAAAAATTGCAAATTTTAGGGTGGTTTTATAGTTATGCCATGCAGTGTATTTATTTTCTCAAGTAGTGTTCAAAAATATCAAAATGTAAACAATATCAGGAAATGTTAAACGAAGAAGTGAATGTTTGAGACGTTGTTTAACTTTTTAATACTGACTGTTAAAGTGTTATAGTTTGTCTCTCATCATAAATTAAAGTGTTACATATGTATATACCTAACACGTAACGCTGTTATCGAACCTGTTAAGCAATAATTTAATTCACGAAATTTGTACCCATAAATTGAAACTTTCAGACCTAATAATTGTTAACTCCATTTTCTGCAAATTTCACGATATTTATCAGTCAATTCTATGATTTTTTACCAAGAAAAGCTCAAATATTAAAAACTTAAATATCAAAAGCGCTACGAATGCGCAGACTGTATGCGCTGTAACATTTTTGAAACGCTATTTTCGCCAAGTGACGCTAGTAGTTCTAAGTAAAAATTTGATAAAAAGTATATTGATATAAGTCAAAATTTGATAAAAATTTAGCTTAAACAGGGTATTGTGTCACATATTGAAGTATCCCTAATTTTTGTTATACTTTTAGCCCTAATAAATAAGAGTTATATTTTACAATATCAAAATACAAGAACCACGAAACCACCGCGATGCGTGTCACTAAAAGTGTCTTGGCGTGTCATAGGTTCGCCATCACTGACCTATACCGTGGTCGCGTGCTTCATCCGTGCTTCGTCAACCCGTTCCCCGAGATACCGAATACATGCATCGAAGCAACCGAAGAACAGTCTTATCTCTTCTCCACACGTCTTACAAATTATCTCCAAGCGATTCTCCAACTTGTCGTTTCCTCGATTGCATTTCAACGGAACACGGAAAATAAATCAATTAATCGATACCTCGGGGCCCCGATCGACGCTCTCGTGATCCAACGAGAGCATCGCGAGAGGACCCGCGTGATTAACGATCCACGGTCGTTTTGCCTGATTTCATTGGTATCTGATCCGCCCGGAAAGTTGCGCGCGTGCAACAGCTAGCATCCTTTTCCTTTTTTTTGTTCCTCTCCCCTCGTGTTACGTCGACGCTGAACGGCGAGAAGAGGGAACGCAACTTTGATCGATCGGTATCGGGGACCAGCGAGCATTTAACGAGGTTTCTTTACCAACGTTGCCAGGAGAATTCCCTAGGACGCACAGTGGTCCAGAATGTGATCCTAAATGCGATCCAGAATCAACATTTAACAGACAATAAAATTTATTTAGCTCAGACAATAAAACATTTTGACATTTATAAATTTTAATTGGATAAACTTCCAAAAAACACCCACACGCGATGACCCTGACCTTGACATATGTTATCAAGATCACCCTCCTGAGAACCTTCAAAAGGCTTCAACCGCCGATCATTGGTTATTAAACATTTACAAACAAAATAAATGTTTGAACTTTTACGAACCAATTACGTGCCCCTGTAAATACTATCTATCAGATTTTTCGAGAGAATTTTTGCGTGCTTTTAAGTGTCAACAATATCCGAAATGTTACTCCGAAAAGTGTCCGACTTCGCGTGGAAGACGCTTTGGGGAGTTAACAGTCTAGTGCAGGCGTCGGCAACCTATGACCCGCGGGGTCAATGTTAATCTATTATTTATATTTCCTCAAAGTGTTTGTTTCATATTTATGTTCCATAATTTATTTTTATATATTATACTTTATTTGCTAAACTCAAGTGGGTCACTTAAAATTATCAAATGGGTTATTTGATGACCCGCGGGTCATAGGTTGCCGACACCTGGTCTAGTGTATAATATAAGAAATCTGTGGCTTCTTACCGTCGAATCCGACACACCGTGTGTTTCAGCATGGAAATTCAGCGCTGCACGAGGCCTCATGGCGCGGTTACAGCCGGACCGTGGCCGCCCTGGCAAAGGCCCTCGGGACACAACGTACCCCTCTGCACGCGAGGAATCTCGCCGGATTCGCGCCGCTTCACCTCGCCTGCCAAAACGGGCACAACCAAAGCTGCCGCGAACTCCTCCTGGCGGGGTGCAATCCCGACCTTCAAAACAACGTGAGTAATAGGCCCGGCTTTGGGCTCTCCATCCGTTCTCGTTTGGTGGCGAGCGAACCACTTTATTGGGCTCTAAATACGGGATTAAATATGATCCTCGTGTGAACCTCGACACAGCTTTGTCTTGGGCTCGTTCTCGAGTCTTTTCGACAGCTGACGTAGCTGTTTGTAAGTTCGGAACTAATTTTAGTCCTTGATATGTCCACTGCAATTGGTCTTATTGTGGGCTTTTAACTGAGACGGTACCGTAAGTTAGGGTACCTTTGACTCGCTCTCAAAGGAAGGACTCGAACTATCTGACTTCGATTTTAACGGTGTTTTGTGAAATAATAGTATACAGGTTATCAATGATATGTCTGAAATATTAGGTGTAGACACTCGATGATGTTAAAGATGCAGACAATTGAAGTTACGAACCTAAAAGGTATACTTTGAATATAAGCCAGAGTTATCGAAGTTGCGTTGGAAAAGTAAAAGAAAAATATTTCGGGGAACCGAAATCGATCTCAGGACATCCGATTTACAAGCCAAACAACCTTACACCTCGATAGAAAAGAAGGTTTTTTTTTAGTTTAGATTAGTTTGTCTAACTAATATTTCAAAATTTTTTTACAGTATGGCGATACTCCCCTTCACACGTCCGCGCGATACGGCCACGCAGGTGTCACGCGTATCCTAATTTCTGCGCTCTGCCGGGTCTCAGATCAAAATAAAGTAAGCAACAACTTTCATTAATTAATACAAATAATTTTGTAAAATATTTTCACGTATACGTGGTGGAATATATTGCCTAAAACAAGTATTAATTGTAAGTCTCAGAAAGGAAAATTTCGAATTACAAGGTATGGTTTACCAAGGGGTTCTTGCTATCTTGGCATAATTACTGAAAAATTTGTTTGCTGATTGTTATTTTAAATATTTTGCTTACTGTACGAGTCGCATATGTTTAGCAATAAGTACCTCAGCATTCTGCTTCCACCAGATATACATACTCAAAATGATCCCAGTGCAGTCAAGAGTAGAGAAGTAATGAAGTTAATATAGTCTATTTCACTTCGACGGTCCTCGAACAATATTCATTCGAAATGTTCAACAATTCGGAATAATTTTTCAAATACAGTTGATCGCAACAGTATTCGGTCGGCTTAGGCATTAAGCGAATTTTACATGGGATTCTAAGTAAGTTTACAAATAAAAAACTATATCAAAACTTATATTTAATGACGACATTTATTAACATATTTTACAATAATGTCTAAGGTGTTCGAATACTTTTGTGCCCAACTGGACCTTTAATAAGTATTCTCATACCTACAAACGGGAATGCAAAGCCGTCACTGGATCACATAGAATCCTAACATCACTGACAGAGAAACTTCCACAGCAGCTCAGAAATTGTAAATTCTCTAAAACCTTGAACGTCCTCCCCTTTATCGAAAAACTTACTTATCCCAACACTCCTGACATTCCTACAATCGCACTTCCACTCTACAAGAAAGAACGACTAATTGCTTTCTTTATAACTTCGCCACTTCTCTACCATCGACAATACACCAGAAATTGTTCCCAAGGGGTCAGTCTAGCCTGCCCGATTAACGATTCCCTTAACGCAGAACGGCGACACGGCGTTGCACATCGCGGCGGCGATGGGCCGTCGAAAGCTGACGAGGATCCTGCTTGAGGCCGGCTGCGACCGTACGCTGCGGAACAAGCAAGGGGAAACTGCGAAGGACATAGCCAGGCGTAAGAATCTGGCGGAGATACTGGAGATAATCGGTAAAGCGCGAAGCAAGAGTAGACAGCGGAGCAAAAGCCGTGAAGAGGAGGCAACGACGACAGCGGCGACGGCGGCGGCGGCGGCGGTCGCCATTGTGGCGGACAAGGTCGACGGGAAGGGCAACAAGAGCGAGAAGAAACGCGAGAAGACCGGTAGTGGTACCAGCGGGAGCAGGGACAGTTGCACGAAGAAGGAGAAAAAGAAGCACAAATCGTCCGGTGGTAAACAGAACAAGGTCCATTTCGAGAAGGCCGTGATGGGTAGACAATGGTCACCGTACGGTTGCCATTACTATCCCGATCCGGAAGCGTTTCCGCAGCCGCGTTTGGACTCCCTGCCACCGGATCCATTGGCCCGCGGTGAACAGTACTACCTGGACCTGGCTGGAAACATCAGAAAGGGCCCGGTCGGAGTGGGCTACACCTGTTATTGCGCGCCGTTCTTCAGACACATGGAGGCCAAGCTGGAGAGGGACAAGGCGGAGCTGAAGGCTCACATAGACCAAGCCCACGAGCGACTGGACCTGAAGGTGGCCAATCTGGAGAGGAGGACCAGGGGACAGATCTCGGAGTTGACTAGATGCGTGGCAGCTGAGAGGTCCAGATGCGACGAAAGACACTCGCATCTGCAGCAACGTTTGTCTCGCGGTGGAAGAGGCAGACACAGCGAAAGACCTACGAAAGCATCGTTTGGCAATGATCAGTCCCTACCGCCGGCTAGGGCCAGGTCGTTGGAGGATTTGTTGGATGACAGACCCCATGATAGAAGTTTCGAGATCCCTGGTGAGACGCCGATACATCGTGGCAGCCTGGACGATCTTGATATACCGGCCATACCTAGACTAAGTAAATCCATGAGAGATCTACCGACGGGTTCCGGTGTCTCGAGGTCAACCTTGAGGGTGCTCGATGTGCCAGCCAGGCTAAACGAGACGTTCGACGGGGTGATCAAGCAGGATCGAAGCTCGCCGCTCGGGGCCGCCTCCTCGCCATCGATTGGGTCCAGGCAACAGGTCCATCAGCAACGCGTGAGTGTGTACATCGGCAGCTCTTTTGTTGGTTGCAATATGTTTGCCGAAGATGTTGATTAAGTGCGTTCGGCAAACGGAATTTCGGGAACGAGAGGAAGAGGGGGGTGGATTAAATTGCAACGCCTTTTGCTTTAGAAAACGCTCTTGCTAATGGTATGGAATTGAAGAAGAGGTAATTGTTGACAATTCGGTCGGTATCTCCGATTTTCTTCGTACTTTAGTGCGGAGCTCCTCGGATTTAAATGATTTCTTGTTGTAGATATCTTCGGTGAGGGTTAAAGTGTACCTGGAACTTTACGTTTGCTCCCTTAGGCACCTTGCGCGCACAATGTTCAGACGTTATCCCCACCATTGAGGGACGTCCCCATTGGAACCAGTCAAGCGCCCAGTAGTGGAGATAACGTTTGAATACTGAGTGCCAAGGAACCTTCGAACACTCATCGATAATTTACTGTAGATGAAACAAAATTTCGTTTCATGATAGACCCGCGTATTAGTCGTTTGTACAAGTAACCAGAACGAATATTGATTGTATGGTATTAAATCTGCATAAAAGATACTTTTATCGTGGAAGTTAATATTGTGAATATTGTATTTTTAGTCACAATTGCCTTATGTTTCTGCGGGAAACCAGTTAAAACGTAAATAAGATCTTGTGTCTAGTGATTTAGCAAATTTCTTATTAAATTATACCTAAAATTAAAGAAGTTTACGGTCTTTAATTGACAGGATCTATCGAGTCGGGATCATGGAATTAATTCCTGCCAAGACGAAAGTATCGCAACGCGGAAGAGCGACGATAACACAAACGAATGGAGGTCCTCCGGACGACGAAGTGTTCACGAAATGATCAAACGATTTCAACAGGTACCCGGTATGCATAACGGCTGGCGAGGTGCCCGTTCAGGAAGCAGCGAGCCGACGAGCCCTGAACACAGTCAATGCTCCCAAAATCAAAGGGTCCAACCCCAGGGTGGCGTAGGCAATGGCTGGCACGGAGAAGGTAAAAGCATTTTTAATCGTGACCCGTAACGTGATCTTACAGATACTTACATACATACAGGCCGTTTAAAAAAAAGTGACCAAGACTTTTGGAGCGTATAGTACTCACCCAGTGGAGTAAAAATTGTCCGATCAACATAGGTCCTAAAATAAATCCTTTCGATGTAAAATCAACTTTTTTATTTACAAGTATTCATCTGTGGAAAAGAGAAGAGAAAAGAAAAGAATCTGAGTGAATATCTGTAAGAAATGTAAAAATAAACTTCTGTACCTATGTTTCATCGCAAGGATTGATTTTAGAACCTATGTTGATTAGACCCTTTCTACTCCACTCTGTGACTACTGCCCTATAAACAATTTGCGCGCAAATTGCCTACAGATTGGCAGCAGATATTGACGAAATCTGTCTACAAAATCCTAGCTATTTGTTTCCGCATTTGGCTTGGGTTTTGCAGGCAGATCCTGTCTGACGAAATCGTGAAGCAGATTAGCGGCAGATTGTTTATAGCTGATGCTGCATCAAATCTGTAGCCATTCTTGGTACAGACGCTTATAACAGGCATTGGACAAAATCTGGCTGTGCAGGTTTGGCTGACTGAATGAGTATAAGCACCTACAGTCGTGGACACTTTTTTTTATATTACAAAATAGTATAATATTTTAATTTACACGAATAAGTTAATATCGCGACGTTGATCGGTGGTAACGAATAAAAACTATGTTCGAAAATATTCAGCTAGGACGCGTGAAATTTATCTGGACTCTTTTGTAATCCTGAAGGATCATTTTTAAGATTTTCGCATGGAACGTAGGTAACGATAGCGAGAGCAGCGAGGGAGACGAGGACGAGCAACCGGAAGCACTTAGTGGGGGGATCACTGGAAAAGGAGTGATATCGGAGCACGTGCATTACGACAGCATAGCCAGAATGCCGTATAGGTCCCGTAATGCAGTTTATAGCCCGACACCGCCTTTGCATGATGCACACAATGATTCCGGATACAGCACCCGCATGTATGGCTCTAGCAAAGGCGCTTCACCTTCATTGTCGGGTAAAAATTGTTGTATTTCGTTTAACTAGTTGTCAGTTCCATCATTAACAATACACAATTGTCTAAAAGTCAGTATAGTATGTTATTTTATAAGAAAAAACAATGCAGTTTCCAATTTATTTAAAACTTGATGCAACCTTTAGTATAGTAGAAAAGAGTTACTATTTCGATTCTAGTTTCCATAAAAAGTAAATTAAAACTGGTTTACACCCCAAATAGCACATGACGCTTCGAAAACGCCCATCTTACGGCTATTTTAGGTCTGAGACGCCTTTAAGCCGTCATTAAACCTTCTTATGCAAATATAATATTTTTAAATGTATAATTGTTTCTTCTATACTTTTATGGATCTTCAGATTTCTATATATTTATTCCTTTAAATTGTTATTTTTCGTTGCAGTGGTGATACAGAACGTTTAACCTTCGTACAACGAATGCAGAGTCAGTTTGACCTATCTGTAGCCGTTGTGGTATTCTTTCTAATTATATATAAATGTAACGTATGAACTTGAAAATATACATAAAATTTTACGCAAAATTCCTTCTTAAAACCCATGTACAATTGAAATTCCACTACGGGTCAAACTGACCCTGCATTCGTCCGCAGCGTCAATCCCACACCATTCGCCTTTCGAGGGTTGAAAGACTTTATGATGACATAACAACAATCCAAGTTTCAGTGACTTGCTGAAAAGAATAAAATACTATATATGGTCTGCAGTAAACAATACCTTTGCACATCAATTTTTCCAGAATAACAAAATTTTTTAATTTAACTTTAATTTTATTGTAAACTGATTCCAGCACCCTTTCAAAAGATTGCATCTCCACCTTTCAGGTCAATTGGAATGCGACGTGATTCTTCCAACCACAACAAACACATTTCCTAGCGGAGAACACCTGGCTGCATTGTTAGAACAACCCAGAAACCACGATCTCACGGTCTACGAACGCAGCGCCGACAACGTTGTCATTAACATCGGAACCGCGAGCCTCGTTTAAAACATTAAAAAATTTATTTCGATAACATTCTTCTCATAGTTCCAAAGACATCGATTTCACATGACTTTATTATACCTACTCAGGTGTCCATACATTAACAAAAATACTATGTATAAATGAAGCTGTTTATTCTGTTAGATCATGATGTACAAAATGATTTCTACTTCAAACATTGTAAAATTATCATTTTACAAATAGTTAGTAGTTGAACTTTAAGATATAGGATTATCATCATATATTGCAATTTTCAAAAATTCTTTTACTGGTTATATATTTATTTAATGAAATATTATTGGTAATTCCACGAGACCAAAATATTGAAACGAATTTTATAAGTACGAAAAAATGTTAAAATATATATTGTAGAATTTGATTAGATGGAAGAGGAAACTCAGTTAATGATTAATTCTCTCTTTGTTATTATAGTGTACATCGTTTTTTTACGTATCGTTAGTTTTACAGTAACAAGTGTGTTATCTTATAGATTGCCATGTACCACAAAATTAGGTTAAGTTGTATCTATTTATTATATGTATACATGTACATATAATACTATGTACATGCTTGTTTTTATCTGCAATATTATTTACGTTAAACGCAAGTATGTCAATTTAGTTTCACTCGAATAAGTAGATTTTTATTTACTTTATCTCAAAACTGAATATACTCTCCATTGATCAACGTGATTAAATAATTTAGAAGTTCGGTAAATATTGTTGTATTTTATTTACAGTACATGTGATGATGAATACTTCGTTATTGATGAATGATATATAGGTGTGCCCATTATAGTGTTCGAATTAGCGTCTTGAACTTCGACAACGACGTAATCACCACTCTTTATTGGTCTCTTTATATCAGAGTACTTTTCAGTAGGTATATCCATAGTAGGAACTACTACTCGTATGTTTCCTTCATTTCTTCCTTGAAGACATTCATCCGATCGCTTGCTAACCTAAGATAAAATTCAAAACTAAGTTATCTTTCAAATTTGTTTAATTAATATACTGTTTACCATTATTATTGTTATAGCACAATTGTGTTATTACAAAATTGCATTACCCCTTCTATAAGTACGAGTTGCAACCGGCCAATCCGCGACTTATTTAATTCCTCTGCTATAGGTCTATATGTTGCACTCATTCTTTCAATTCGTTTTATTTTTTCTGCTGGTTCTACATCGTCCTTAAAGCGGCGGTGTGCAGTAGTTTTCTGAAAGTATTAAAGACTCTTGTAATAATTGATAGTAGTGTCAAACATCCATTAAAAAAGTGTATATAAGTATAAATCACCTCCCGCATGCTGTATCCAAACAAGAATGCTCTGTTATATTTGACTAATTGTATTAATGACAATGTATCTTGAAACTCTTCCTCAGTTTCACCACAAAATCCAGTAATAAAATCACTGGAAAGACATACATTTGGAAGAATGTCGCGTATACGGTGTACCAAATCCAAATACGCTTCTCTTGTGTATCCTCTTCTCATCCTTTCCAACACCATCGAATTACCACTTTGCGCAGGCAAATGAATTTCGTTACAAATGTTCGGCCGGTCTGCTATTAATTGTAAAACTTCATCTGGAAAATCCTTAGGATGTGGTGATGTAAATCTGAAAATGACTTTTTAATTAGTACTGTAACTTGTAAGAGTAAACGTTTTTAAAAATAAATATCTTACAAGTACTGTCAGAATATAAATACCTTATCCTCATATCTGGATTAATACGAGAAACCTCATCTAACAAATCGCAGAATCTGCGGCCTCCTTTTTTATTTTTGTATACAGTTTTAAAACCTTTAACCAGATGTGTTTCTGCATTATTAGCCATATAAAATTCTGAGTACGACGTATCTCTGTAACTATTTACATTCTGCCCAAGTAGCATTACTTCCTTCACACCCTCATCAGATAAAGACTGAATCTCCTTAACTATACTGTCAACAGGTCGTGACCTTTCTCTCCCACGTGTAAATGGAACAATACAATAGGTACACATATTATCACAACCTCGCATTATTGTGCTGGAAAGAATGAAGATATTGCAATGACAATCAACTACTGTGAAAAATGTACTGCAGAGTAACATTTTGAATATATAAAAAGACATTACACGAATGCACTAGTGGAGTCTTTGTTTAATCTTACTGGTGTAATATCTGCATATGTCTCATCAAATGATAGAACAACATTAATAGCAGCTTTATTTTCTGATATAGAGAGAAGTCTTGGTAAATCCTTGTAGCTGTCTGGTCCAGCTATCACATCAACCAGTTTGTTCTTTTCTAATATTTTATCTTTTAAACGTTCAGCCATACATCCTGATGTAAAAATACAGTCATTATAACATCAGTTTCTTTCACTGTTTATACAGTATCAGAGTTCACAGAGATACCTAGTAAACCAATCTTCATAGGAAACTTTTTTTTCTTTCTGATGCTATTTAGGTAATCTAATTTGTACCATATTTTCTGTTCTGCATGGTCTCTGATAGAACATGTAATAAGCAAAACTATATTAGCATCTTCTAAGTTGTCAGTTTTTTTGTAGCCATGTGATTTTAATATAGACCAGATTACTTCCGTGTCACTGACATTCATTTGACAGCCATAAACTTCAAAAAATACTGAAATAAGAATAGAGATATTTAATATATAAATAAAATTATTAACTATACGTGTTTATATACCTTTCTGGTTGCCACCATTAATATTCTTTATGTAAGGGATATTTGGTACATTGATAGAATCAATTGGTGGTATTGTTTCATGCACTATGAAATCTTTTAGGGTAGGTCCACTTTTAGATAAATCTTTGAATTGTTTCAGATCAACTTTTTGATTGATATCTTTAGAAATTTCCATCTGAATAGTACTTGCATGCAGTGTTTGATGGTTTTGAGAATATACATTCTTGTACTGAATGAAACATGTTTCATTAAACCATTTCCTTGTTAAACTATGATAGGTTCTAAATGGTTTAATTTTTGTCAATTTATGTAGCACAAATCTCCTACTATTCATAGTTAATATATAATATGCAATACTATTGGAGTACAATGTGCTAAAATGTAAGAATAAAACATCATAAATACAAAAAATCGGAAATATATTGACAAAAAGTACATTATTTTATATATCATCCTCTATCAATTATAATAAAAATACTCTAAATAAAGATTTTTTGTTTTTTTCTTGTACTTACATATATATTTATATAATTATTTGAAGAGATGCTTACAAATAGGTTATGTATTATGAAACTTCTGTAACATATTAATTCGATTGTAATATGTTATAAATAAGATATATCATAAACAATAAATTATAGATCTGTGATGCAAAATATGTGTTAAAGTTTTTACTGTGCATTTGTACACTTTCGCTTGTAGTACAGCTTATGCGCGATTACAGATTTAAATAAATAGGTATTGGTAGATACACAACATATACTTCCGTCAAAATCCTCTTTCCATGCAGTGGTTCTCAAATAGCACCATTAAAATTTTTATATTTTTCAAAATTTTAATTTACATTCAAGTATATGTATATAATGAATATTTTAAACAAATACGACTGATACAATCCAATTGCTTTCACAGATTTCGATGCTATTCACCGCATTATAGGTTATGTTTACAGTTTCTATACTTCAGTCAAAATACGTTTAAATTTTATTAAAACTACATAAAAGTATATGACAAGGAAATTTTTAAAAGAAATAAGAAGCAATAAATGTTCTACATATGTTTTATTAATATGTAATATTATAAAAGTTTAATAATGCATTGCTTAATGATGAGCAGCAGCAGCTTTCCTCATCTGGACAAGGATGTTTCCAAGTTCTTCGCGTTTCCTCTTAGCTCTAATGTGTGTACCCAGCTGTAAAGTTAAATGTATGAAAACATTGAAAATATTATTAACAAAAAATCAGTTACAGAACAGTTAAAGTTATTTATATGCTCACCCTCCTCTTCAAGAATTTCAATGCACGCTTATCTTTTGAAACCTTTAACAATTCCATAGCACGCTTCTCATATGGGGCATGTCCAGTTACTTCACGAATTAAATCTCTAACAAACTTGCTATGTTTGGTTTGTCTCTAAAATTATAAAGTAATATGAACTTAATGATTACTACTATAACATTATTATCTATTGAGTATAATGCAATAATACAACACAAAAACTTGAATAAACGTAACATATATAAGGCCAGGGGAAAGCTTGTGAGAGCTTGCAAATAGAAAGAATTCAGGTCACTTATCAGTAATTATAACTGTGAATACAGGACACTATATAACACAATGAAAATACTACTAAAAAATTACGAATCTGGTAAAAATGAATGAACTTGGAACTTTCAAAAACAATATAGTGAACCTGTCTAAATCCATAAAAAAAGAGTTATTGTATCAGATAATATGAAAATTAGGAATAATCATTTACAACAATGGTTGGATAAAGTATACAGAAAAAAAGAGACAAAAGATACCAAAGAAATGCTTAACATGGTGACTTGGATAGTAGTAATGAAGTAATTCATATAAGCAGTGATATAAAATGCATGACATGTAATATAACATTCTCATTGTTTATTAATAAATTAAAGAAATGATTAAGAAATATAATTTTGTATAGACATAGTAACTCATAAACTAAGTATAAACATCAAACGTTAACATTAAATATGAAAGTAAGTGAAATACGTTTGTACATTCTAAATGTTTCATGTATGCAGGTAATGTCTCAATAAATTTTATACGGAATACTCACCCCCTTAAATCTGGCTGGCAGAACACACACAGTCTTTTTCTTTTCATTTAAATTTTTTGCCACGCGAATTTTGGTCGTTTTGTGGCCTTTGTTGAGACCAACAGCTAATTCGTACCTCGGAGCCATCCTGCAAAAATAAGAACATGACTTTTGGAGGTTAGATCACAAAACAACGTTAAGTACCATAAAATGCATATTTTGCGATAATATTGCAAATTTCATATTACAACGACTGTTAAGTGTATGCATCACTATAAGAATATTTGTGTTTTGTAAAGATCATTAAAATAATTAACGATACGATTTGATACAAACCTTTACGGCTCGAAACACGCACAAAAGGGAATACGATCTTATTTTCAATAGAACAGTAGCTCGGATATAATGCGCGTGCGCCTTAGAATACCATATCCGATTTACAAGAAACGCAACACAAATCGTGTCGTTTACATCTTTTCCCTATATCACTTGAATATAAAGAGAATACAATAAATTTAACAAATACATTATCAATTGTAGCAAATAAAATTCAAACTAAACAGGAATAATAATTCAATTTTCTTTAAACAATGGAAGCTGGAAAGTTGTGCTACTGCAATCTAACAGCAAGGACAAAATATTAATTGCGAAGAACTTATGGCTTCTTATCATAGGTGGCACAACAGATAAATTCGATTACACACGAGTCACATTAGCAAACTTATTGCTTCACAGGAAAATAGTTAGCGCCGAATGTTAACGTTTTAACGATTTATATCTCAAAAAATTGCTCCCAATTTGCTCCTCCCGAATCTGAAATTCCTTCCACAGCACCGTTTATAGTTAATGAGATATTTGCAAGTGGAAAAGCAAAAATTTGTTGTTTGCAAAATAGGTACTACTAAATGGCCTTTTTACATAAATATTATGGTACCAAAAAATTGCTACTTACCGGTTTTATAATAATCAATAGTCAGGTATCTCAATAACAACGTATTAACGAGGAGCAAAGGAAATAATGTTGTTGCATAGAGATTCGGTATTACTACCGACTAGGTATAGGATAACCGTATATTTCCTTAGAATTGTTTAAATAAAAAACAATAAAATGGTACATATGCGTTGTTCATCAATCCCATCACCATCTTCCTCCTAATTCCTATTACTTTATTTCTTCTTAAAGAAATCTGTATAAATAAGTACAATAATAAGCACGTAATTAATTTTCATAATAAAAATGATATTTCAATTTGTTCTTGTATCAACAACCTCGAAACTTGTGAAGCCATGATCTTGGTTCATAAATTAATATCAATATTCTAAAAATTACATGAATGGACAACATATACGTATGAGACGCCTTATGTGTGAGGCGTGGGGTCATAGAACCCCCGGTGGAGGCGATAGTGCCCCGTCTGGTGGGAACGTGGGGTCACAGAACCCCGCAGGAGGCGCCAGAGACCCTATGTGTTGAGACGTGGTGTGACAGAACCCCCACAGGTGGCGCCAGAGACCCGTGTCGTGAGAGCCAGGGGTCATAGAACCCCCCGGTTAGCCACCAGAGACCCCGTTTGGTGAGAACGTGGAGTCATGGAACCCCCGCAGCATGTGCAAGAGTTTTGAAACGTGATCCTTCATCGCTGTTGCTCGTATAACTCTCTAGCTCGGTCGAATGTTCCTCGTGCAACTGTCGAATTGGGACTGACGCTTGTCCGTGTTCCCGTGAACAAATTAGATAATAACACCAGCAACCATGGCAGTTTCTGCAGATACTACTACAGCCCCAGTTTAAAAGACGTAGGCAGTAGTTAGTTTCTGTAGTAACATGTTGAACCAGACAACTATAATTAGTATAGGACTGTACAATATTTATGCAGTTATATTTAAGACAGTTCGATGAAATGAAGCTTATATTACCTGACGTATGTTTCTTGGAATATACATATACACTTATAAATTATAATGATATAAAACTTTGAAATACAATACGATGCGCTACGGTACAATACGTCTATTCGATTCAATTGCTACCTTGCGACTACAAGATCATGCTATCCGCGTTCGGCGCAGTGCGCTAATACGGAGGCCAACGAAATATCACCGTAACACTTACAAAAGTTTTAAAGTTCCATTTATATCATTGTCCTGTGAAAATGTTCATACTTCCAGCAGCATTCATATTTCAATCAAAGAATTTACAGAATAAGGAAAAGGAATCTAAAGTAATTTTC